ACAGAAGGCTCGGTTGACATTTGCCAACTTGAAACATCTGTGGCGCCGTCGCGATATTCGTATGTTTGTGAAGGGTCCAGTGTATGCTGCAACAGTTCGGCCATTTCTGCTCTACGGTGCATAGACATGGCCATCACGTAAACAGGATAAAAGTATATTGCCGGTATTCGAACACCACTGTCTACTTCGTACTGCACGAGTGTGGAAATAAACTGAGACCACCCATCGACTAGTTTGAAACGAGTCAAGAATGAGATGGTGTGATAACTGGGGTCAGTAAACCAGTGATTTCGCAAATAAAGAATATTGTGAATGGTTTCTTTCATGACGTATTAGACCAGAAAATAATAGAGAGATCAATGTATAACAGCTTTTTTAGCAGCGCATTTTCGGCGTTTACAACAATTAACGATGCACTTTCGTGTGCCGATGTTGGTTGATGTCTATTGGCCGCCGATTTGGAAAAAAGAGCAGAATGACGGTTGGAATGTTGAGAGGAAATTTAAGCGGAAGATAGAGAATTCATACAGACTGAGGTTGCGAGAATAATAAGCACCACTGTTTGCCACAATCCATCATATCGCTCAGTGTCTCGAACCACCGAACACAATGATCTTGGGGTCTCGATCCAGGGAGCCTAACAGGCCCTTTGTGACCCAGTCTCCTGATTACGGTTTTTATACCCTCATACCAGGTCTTAGTTTGACCGCATTTGACATTTTTCCATTGGTTACCTGCCTTGGTAAACCCCGCGCGCCATTGCAACCTACTTGGTGACATGCACAGAATTATCAAACTTCTTTGAATGAAACAAGCTTGTGAAAACATTTCCAACAACACTAAGATAGATAAGGTAACCGAATAATATCGTATCTCCAATCGTCAAACTGTGATTGAGTCGGTCTACCAAATCAACCCTGAGTTGACTACGCGCAATCCGAAGAACAACTCACTCGGCCATGACAAAGGTTATGAATGCGTGCGCCAGTCTTTGCGCCAAGCAGACGAACAAGTTGAGCTCGTGTCACAGACTGGATAACCTCACCACATGTGTGAACCTTGAAAGCGGCCTCCAGGCGTTCGACCAGCACATAGCCGATACCTGTAAGTAACACACAAGAATATAGATAGAGGAGAAGGATCAGTCAAGTGATCCTAACTAAATGGGAGTTCAAAAGACAGCAACCGAAACCGCCTCACGAAGGTGCATGATTGATCGTTGTTCAAACGGAAACGGGTAGACGGGGTAATTTCGAGTTTATCAATGGTTAACCATTAGTGGTGTATCAGAACCAATCAAATGGATAAAAGAGCTGCATAAATTTTGACATGCACACATAACGTGGCCATCTGTTCAAGTGACAGCATCTTGTCTGAAAATGCGGAGTTTTGTTAACATCAAAAGAAAACCTAATAGTACACCGCACTAAATCACTTTAGTGGGTGGGATAAAGCCAACGGTTGTCAAGCTAAGACCTGGCATGAGGGTATGAAAACCCTGACTAGGCGACTGGGTCACATTGATCCTGTTAGGCTCCTTGGATAGATACCTCGGGATGAGCGTACCCGATGGTCAGAGACACCGAGTGATATGGATGAGTGTCGTAAACAGTGGCGTTTGTGCGTCGCAATTTCTTGGCAGCCATTGTTTACCGGAGTTCTCAATTTTCTATTCGACTCTACTTTAAACTTTCTTGTTCACCTAAATGGGCAACCAAGAGACAGCAACTAAAACCGGCGCACGAAAGTGCATGGTTAATGGTTGTTCAAACTGAACCGAACTGAACTGATGGATTACGGCTTAAATCGTATTCGTGAATGTAGATGGACCTACTGAACCAAAATGCCAAGCAGATAAACATCTCCGAATAGCTTGTAAAACCGTCAAAATAATAAGGTACCAAATTTACCGAACAGACATATCATCTCTTGTTCATTTTGTAGGCATCGAGCAAAGGCGAAAGAAACAAGCCTTTTTAAATATCTTATGATGGTCAGCAGTATAAACAAAACTCAGTGATATGCAAAAGGATGTTTTTTCGGCGATTTCGTTCTCAACGACGCAGTGCTGATATACACTAGGTAAAGAATTTGGTCCTAACACCCGTATAAGTGTTAAAAATCGTAAAACATTGGCTTCTGTCAGGATTTGAATCCAAACAAACACTAGAGTGGGTAAGGATGACGGGCTTTGAGCAAGATTTAAAATGCACAGGTAATGGAACAACAAAAACATTCCATCAGAATATTAAATCCGTTTCAGACGTTCACATCGCTATTCAACACAGAATACCTCGAAATAAACGTTAGAGAGACTGAAGTATCTGTCAATCGCATTATGATACCACAATCCAGACGTGAGGCGTTGCCACGGCAGAACGAACGCGAGCGAAAACTAATTAGTTGACTGAGGAAGCTGAAAGATACATCCAGAAACGTCATTATTCTTTACCGTTATAACAAGTGAGATCGTTTGGCGAGAGTAAAAANAAACAACCCCGTGTTCGCTTGCGTGGTTTATTGTGTTCTCATCACTCCGTCTCGTGTCCCACCCATTTTTGATACACCTAAATTGTACCTTTTGTTTAATATCATCTTGGATTTGAACCAAAAGATTCATGTGAATTTATGTCACTGGTAAATTGGGTTCCAGCTTCTTTTTCCCTGGCTCCTCTATTAGGCCTTTACAAAATTGTTGGCCAAAAACAATTCTACTACGGTGAAGAAAAAAACAAGCAACGGAAGGAAAAATGACGATTGGCATTGTGAGACGATAATCATCAAATCTGCAATAGAGTTGACTGGAGTCCATTGATCTGAATGATATATTGAAGCGAAAAGAATGAAAAGCAGGAAACTGACCAGGGAGTTCACCAATGGGAAGGTTGAAAAACCAATGAGCATCATCTCCGGTTAATTCACACGTAGCAGACGCGGGATCCGTACCATCCATAAAATCCGACTGGTGACGCCATTCCCATGGTGGACAGGCACTATGCATGAGTGAATTCAAATGAGGCCGGTTGCTTCCACCTCCAGACGCGCCAAGGATAAACCATTGACCATCCGGTTTGGCACGTTTAGTGGCCAGACGAGCCAAGAGACGAGTTGTTCCGAATCCAATTGAAGCAGTACAACCCCCGGTTTGATCGCGAACTAGCTCACGAAGATGTGAACCCAGGACCAAGGGATTGATTAAATCCCATTCGAAATACCAATAACCGTCACGAAGCTTGGGCTGGGAACAGGTTTCGTTGGGTAATGTAAGTAGTTCGGTACAGTCCGCGTAAAGTTCATCACAGCTAACAGCCTCAACAGCCAATGTAAACCTGATTTCATGGTAGGTAAGCGTAAGTTACCGTATGTTTAAATTAATAAACTGGGCAACTACAGCTGGGACGTGTAATTAAACGAGTCACTTGCCAAATGCGTGCAATGATACCTAGAGAATTCCATCCCAAACGAATGCTATTGTTGGCTCGTTGATCAGGCTGCGTGTAATATCCCAGGTCTCTTAATCAAGCGTGACATGAGTGAGTTTCATAAACAGAAGTGCTCGTGCAAAAAAACTTTCCGTATACACAAAGTCTACTCGCATTTTATATCAGACAGACAGACCTCTCAATTTACGGTCTTATTATACTTCCCCTTGTTTAGTCGGTCAGAAGGGTAGTTAGAAGAAGGACCAAAGTCAGAGGAAGGAAGCGCTACTCTCATTGGGTGCATGATGATAAGGGTCAATCCTGAAAAGCGGACCGATAATCAACGCATTATTGAGCAAATCACTAAATCGCAACAGAAAGGCCTTGAGTGACAGGTCTCTAGAAGTTCCCACACTGGTGATTCCGTCACGCACCCACGTTGAATCTGCACCCCCTGGCTTATGGGTCAGGCCTTCGAATCAGAAGCACTGATTAAGGTTCATAAGAAAAAAGCCATTCGTCGGTGTTAGTTACAGCGCGTTATGCACGTTCTGAACTCTTAGACACTCATTTGGAGAAACGTATTTCCCATCTGTCTGCTTCTCCACAATCCCGAATGTATCCAGATGCCACCTGCTTAGGCCACACATCAGGTATCATTCGGCGTTTAGCCAGTAAGGTTCAACAACCAGAAGTTATCGGATTGCCGTAGCCGAAATTTCAAGTTCACTTAGCCGCGTTCAAAGTCTGCACACTTTACCAGATCGGTCAACAACCTGCCGTAGCTAGAACTCTTGGAACATTCAACTAAGATATATGCAGTGCTTCCAAAAGACGAACACAAGACCCGATTTAAATCATCTTCCTGCGTTCAGCTGACCCAAACTCACCCTAACGCTTCATCTTTCGTGTGCCAGTCGATTTGGCACCTGACACGGGCGGTATGGCTGGTGTTGGGATTGAGTTAATCTTCGAGGTTGAGCGCTGTACGTCTCAACGGCTCAGTAAGGATCAACAGCTATAGAACGAAGCATCGATACTTATTGGTCGTATCGCTGTATGAAACAGATTGCAGTAAATGTAAAAGCAAAGATCTTTCTCTGTTACTCCACGGTGCTCGATCCACGGACGGTGTGGTAGTCGCTGGATAATTCAATGATCAAGTGGGATCCCTGGACGAATGAGAAAGGCTACTTGGTGGTACACATGCAATCCCAGCTAACCGGACGGACAACGGAGAACACCGACTCCAGCTATGAGTTAGTCAAGTCAAAGTAAGCTTTANTCTGTCAAGCACCAACTTCTTGCAGAAGAAACGACACTGCCTTACATGGAGATCTCCAACCTCTTCACACCGATGGACTTAAACCGACCGTAACGGCATCAGCCACCAATGGCAAGGATTCATTAAAAAATGCCGCCCTTGTTGTTCAAGACCGGTGGACATGGAACATGCTCTACCACGAGCCACATTCTTCCCACTCCGTTGATTCTGTCGCGCGTGAACCGTGTATGCGTGAGAATCACGTGGGTTTTAGATCTGGTCGAGGTTGTATAGAAGATATTTTCACTCTAGGCCAAATCATGAAGTAACGACATTATTTTCGCAGATCCACCATATCTGTTTTCCCCGTTCTGAAAGCGGCTTTCGTCTCAATCGACGGCAATAAACTCCAGCACTGCCTGTCTCTGAAGGATGTGGTAGAGAATTTTACTTGAATTTGACAATCCATTGAGTATTACCCGAAACCTAGTCCGAACTTACAGCAATTTCTCCCCCGAGTTCACCACATCGGGGTTGCACCCTCTCGTTTTCATTCCTAATTTATACTTCACTGAGGAAACAAAGGGAGTGGTGGCGTCGAGCAGCTCCCGGATGGTAGACTGTCTGATCTGCAGTAAGCAGACAACATTGTATTGTTAAGTGAAAATCCGGATAAGTTGCGAGCTGTTCTCAACAATTCGAATGCTAGTTTAGTTATAACCAGAATGTGTTTCGCACCCTCAAAGTGTAAAACGTAACATGACGGGGTTGGTCCAGCTCCCAACCTCACGTTATCAGAGTATCCACATCTCACCTCGCGCACGCATCGCATATAAAGTGTTGGTACGTACACACAAGACTCGATTGACATTTGCCTACTCAAGATATCTGTGGCGACGGTGCGGCATCCGGCTGTCTGTGAAGGGTTGAGCATATGCAGCACCAGTTCGGCCAGTGCCGCTATAGAGCGCACAGACTCGGTCATTTCGGAAACAAGATAAAAATAGGCTGTCACTGTTCAAACACGGATATGTACGCAGCATTTCACGAATCTGGTGGGGCAGTGAGACAAAAACGCAGAGGTTAGGCGCAGGTGTTTTGGTAACCATGGTCGCCCGTTGGAGCAAATGATCGACCTTCTTGGATTGAGGTTTTTGGTACATGTGTTACACATGTTACCAAATGGGTTACCACGACGCGCGATGTTTGCCGAGACAGATAATGGGTGGAAAGAAGTAAAGGGTGGTCAAATAGACTTGTCATGAGTGAACGAAAACCCGGACAAATAGAACTGGTTATACAGGCCGCGTTAGATTTCTCGGTTGGGGACATCGGGCTCAGCTTTATCAATGGTTAGTGATAATTAGTGATAAGGCTGAAAGTGTCGTAAACAGTGGCGCCCGTGCATCTAATCAATGACCTTGCGACCTTGGTCTTTATGAATTGTATATTTTCACTTTGTCACTGATTCGTACATTCCAATCTCCCCAGCACTCCTTAAATGAAATCAACAGTTGATCCGAGCGTGTTAAATAGAAGAAGGACGAAACCAAGTGGTGGATCAATTAAATGTTGACGCAGGTAGATTCGCTTTTAGGCAATGTAATTGAATCCATCTCACACCGGATCAAACAATGGTGAATGGACAGTTGATGAATTATGGGGAAACAGCTTATTTCTCAATTTATGTTTTCCCGTTTATCGCGCTGGACTACGTGTGGTATTATGGTTACGGGACCTTTTCGGAAAGAGACGACGGAGAGAAATGAGATATCTACCTGAGAACGGATTGTACGCATTTGTTCAACAGCTTAAACCCTTCCACTAGTAACCAATAAAGGATACAAGAAGTTCAAGTTCGAGTGAGAATGACCACAGGAAATAAGATTAACCCAGTGATTTTCTTTAATATTTGTCTCAGGCGATGCTGTATTTACCGTATATTGTGTTACTGGGAATTAGCCGATTACCGTTTGCTGCTGAGTAACAGGCACGATTGTGTCTCAGCTAACCTAAGAGAGGAACTGTGAGGAAGCATATTCCAAAAATAGCAGAAAAACACTCAAACTCAAAGTTAAAAAATTCTACATCTTAAGCAGTTTGGATTCATATCAAACAGCATCGTTTTGCTGTTCGAACTGTTATTGAACCCGCATTTATGTGCTTCCATTTTATTCGCTTTGTTTCATCCACCCGTTTAAGAACAGAGCAATATTATGAAAGATACTGATGAGAATCAAGACAAATGAAGTTGGACAGGTTATATGTGACGAATTAATTAGGTGCACAGGTAGTCGTGGTTAGTCAATCAGTCGTATTATTAAACGCTTCTAACCATTGATCAACATTGATTTTGAATAGCTATTTAATGCTCAGGACACCTGAAAAATAGTAATAATAAATATAGTGTACAAAGAGCACGGACCTGGTTACAATGGTGTACAACGTTTCTGATACCGCTTTGTAGGCCTCAAAATCATAGGGAACCGTATGCAGATCAGGACAAAGTTGCTTCGCCTGACCGAGAAGCATTCCATTCTTACAGCCGGCCTAAAAACAGAAAAAATAATCGGAAAATGAAGACCCAAAGATGTCAACATTATTGATTTGACAGCAAAGACTCCAAAGATATTCCATGCCAAATAAGGTCGGAGGTAACTTGCATGGTATTCAAATGATGTAATTGGAGACAATGTTGAATGGTGATCCCAACACCTTAGATCGAAGGGAGAGATAATTATACTGAGAAAAAAATGAAAAGGGATACGTGATGTTCGCAGATGCGCATGCAAAAGCCGACAATTGTTTGTGTTTTGATATTCTATTCAAGGATTGCGCGACATCGTGCACAAAAGTTTATGAGAAACTAATGTTTATCCACTAATGATTAGTCATTAATTATTATTGGTGCAGGGAGACAAGTTGATATACCAGGAAAAGGTGACGCACAAGTTTGCATACAAACCAAAACTGTTGTACAAACATGTGAAGGCCTCCAAAAAGGTGAAGTATCGAGTTCCGATGTTAAGTTTCACAGGTGTTATATCCATAGCAGAGCAGGCACGTGAAATGCTAAACATTCACTAGGCTCAAGTGTACACTGCACTTACACACGCCAGGTTACGATCGCCCCCGTCACTATATGATACTCCATTACGAATAAAACGCTTACTACAATCATTCTTCCCCAGAAAGGATCTAACTGAATGCATCAAGTTTGTAAATAAAAGTTATTTCCAGGGATAGATGAAACTCATTCGCGGAACCTCATCATCCTGTTAAGTCACGCAGCTAGGCCGAACTGTTCCGGAGAACGTAAGACATTATATA